CAATCCATTGATCACTTCATGAATTCAAAAAATAAGACAGTTATTCCTTAAATAAGTATGCATAAGTTATTATCTTTTTTGATAATTTCATGTAGTACACATATAAATCTATCTATGCAATGTTTTTTACCATTTGTGCAACTTGAAAAATTAGTTGAAAGGCCTACAATGTATAACTATCATGTAGACAGTGCTGAATGTCACTCCCTCTCATTAGCGGATTACCATGCTTACAAATCCAACTGAATTAATCTTTCATGGTCATCATGGTCATGCTGTTCATTTACAAAACTATACACTCATCATTCATTGACAATTCAGTTATACAAACATGCCTATGAAGTACATGGAATGTATTGAAGATGTGGCAATCATAGCAGTCAGACATGTCTGATCGGTTGGTAAAGTGTCTGACTGGGGGCCAAAGTTCAAATCCTGGTCTCGTCTGCTTTTTTTTTTCTCTCTGCTATTACACAATCCAAGAATTGATGAAGTTGAGGACTCTATATTAAGTTGATATTTTAAATAAAAAATTGGAATGAATTAGTAATAACTCTTCTTTGATGTATAAATGTATAACTGCTCTGTTTATTTTGTAGGAGGTTAAACTTGAGAGCTTCTGGGAGAAACAGACCTGTGTGATCTTGTTTATGAGAAGGTTTGGATGACCCACATGTCGTCTCCACATTAAGGAGATTTCCACTATTCATCCACGCCTCGAGGCCAACAACATCCGTTTTGTTGGAATCGGCGTGGAGGAGCTAGGAGTGCAAGAGTTTGTCAAAGGAGGATTTTTTAGTGGAGGTTTGAATATAGAAAATTAAATCTTTTGTATACAATAAAGAAATATTTACTGTTCATATTCTTGTTCTTTTTGAAAAGTTGCAATATTTTATTGGTTTGATTTATCAATTCTTACTAATGGAAGGAGTAAAGATATGTTAAATAACGAACATAAAATAGTTATGCTGTGCAAGCAATAAAAATTACGTTTTTGAAGTACTTAATGAAAATAATTTTGCATAGTAAAATATTAATTTACACTAAACTAATGACTGATTTTTGATTTTGTTGTAGAATTGTATATTGACACAAAAAAGCAGTGTTACAAAGATTTAGGTTTCAGAAGGTATGTACCTTATTAAATCAAATGTTATTTTTTAAATTTATGACATAATTTGTCCTTATCAATTTTTTTTTTTAGATACTTTTGCCATGTTATCATTTCAAAGTTGTGTATGATTTGATTTAATTCCTGCACTATTTAATGGAGGATAAGATTGTAGCCAGTATACCTCTCCTTTGACTTCATTAACAAGTTATTATGATAAAAAACCAGAAATTGTTTAGGATCACTCTGTTTTTTACATTATTTTGGTGATGGTGACAGCATCACCTTATCATATATTCAGAATCAATCATACTTCTGAACAATGTCTTCTCTTTTGTAACTTTTATGCCTTTGGGGAAATGCATGCTGTGAAAAATTGTCAGAACATTCTGTTTATGGAGAACTTAATCACTGTATTACTGAGTACTTGATAAAAATAAAATGATTTTCATTTCAGATTGAATATTTTCTCAGGAATTGGAGCAATATTTGCTAAGACTACCAGAGAAGGCATGGCAAAGGTAGGAACTCTTTTTAACTTGCTTGGGCCAAAGGCTTCTTCTAGCATTGTAAAAATCTGTGGCCTTAGGATGAGGGGTTCAGCAGGAGGGGGCTTTACAGATTATACAGCGAACACACATTATTTCTTTCAAAATCTTCTCTACCCCTGGATAATCAGCTAACACAGCAAAGGCATAGTTAACATGAACAAGTTTTCTGTTCAAGAACTGTTCATATTTTTCTGCCACAAGGTATAACAAAATAACCAACAATCATGATGAGCAAGGGTGCCTGTTCCAAAATTGTGAACGTCTAGGCTACTTATTTAGAGGTTTTGGTGTTAGGATGGGGCTCTTATGATTACTGTAAACCTACTATGAATCGTGTTCAAGAAGTATCTGCAAGTTCCGCCACCAACATCAAATCCTGAATACCCGGGTATTAATCGCCGCAAACCAATGATTTTGCATAGTATTTGTAGGGAAATGTTCTCTCAGTCATGAAAATTAATTGTAGAGGATTGATTTTAATCTGTTGATTCGAAATTAAAAGATGACGCAAATAATAGTTGGTTTACCGTATATAGTTAGAGTGTATCAATTCTTTGAAAATCTACATGTACTCTGCTTTGCTTTTGGGTATTGAGCAGACAAACTACGAGGGGTTATCAAAAAGTTCGTGGACTAGCGTCATAAAATCAAAACCGCTTTAGGCACACCAATGAATTATAGAATATCTAGTTAGCATAATCTTTTCTATCTAAAGAATAAACCATAAATCATAAATTTTATTTTTTAATAAATTAGTAATGTTTTTGTAAGCAATGGTATGTCTAGGCGGCGCAACCTCGAAAACGACGTTTTAACGACCTATGTGTAATTGAGAAAAACTTTTTTGATATGCTCATTTGACATCCAAAAATCCCGTTAATTCAGGTGTGTATCGGGACACAATTGTTCCATAAAATATGACATTTTCACTTCATTCTGGAAGTTCTATGTAATTTTATCGCAGATTTTACACGGAATGTCCAAACAAATGAGGCCTTGAAAATGACGTCAAAAAGGGTGAGGGATTTCCGTTTATAACATTCTATAAAGTTTTGCCCCCTGAAAAATCTGGTATAGACCTAAAATATGTTGAAACTGGCTACAGAGAAATAATATGCATCCAGAGTACTTGTCTTTTAATGTCAAAAAAGATTCAGAGAAAAAAAGGATACGCAGTTAATGTCGATTTGCAGTCAAGGTGTGAAAAATCAATCACGTCAAAAAAAGACGTTGATCATGCGTTGTAGATATTGAACTCCAAAAAGCAAAATATGCCGGAATAATTAAGCGCGGATCTCTCCCAGTGTATTAATCCCTTTGGAATATTATATTCATTGAAGGCCACTGTTCATGACATTGTAGAGTCATATAAACAAGGCGGGTTTAAGTCCTTAGTCAGCTCCAGGGAATCTCATCAAAAAAGTGTATGAGGTAGAAGAAGCGGACATTGAAAAAACAATGACGTTATCGGACGTCATGAAAATAAACGACGACAGCGCCGGGTGATCATATAATGTAGTTTATATTTTGTAATAATTTGGCTTATAATGAACGTATCAGGCTAAAATTTTCAAATTTTCTTTATTTTTTGTTGTTTTATGTTCCATATAAATTTTGAAAGCACAGACTACATAGTACCAATTTTGTAGCCTCAGTCCACGAACTTTTTGATAACCCCTCGTAATTGCACAGATATGTTTATCAAGGGTGCCTCTTTCTTATCCTGGTAGTTGCACAAAATTGTGACCTTAGGATTTTTAGTAACAGATTAATTTTACTTTATACTTCAATCCATGGATCCTTCTGAGTGTTACACTATACTCAGGTGACAACTTTCATTGTACTCATGGTACATGTACTATGTACCTTAGTTAGTAAAGTGCTCGCTCCGTAATCGGAAGGTTGTGGGTTTGAACCCCAGCTGTGACAGACATAAGTCAAAAGAAAATAGGTAGCAACTGTTCCTTTGCTATGGCTTAGCATTTTAAAGTGAAAGTTTTGGATGAGATTTTAAAAACCAAGGCACTGTTTCACTGTGGACATTAGTACAATTAAGATCCCTCACTGCTCAATAGCCCCAAGTGCTGAGTAAAGGATTAGATTTGAAGCACTTCACCAGGTTATGGTGATGTCTCTCTATGAGTGACAAATTCTTGAATGGGACGTAAAACAACACACAATCAATTAACACTCAGGTTACCTTTCAAGTCTTGTGGCCTCTTGTTGTTTCCTCTAATAAAGTAAAACTTTGTTTAATTCACTAGGCAAAAGAACAGAATATTGATGGAAACATGAAAGGAGATGGATTTCAGAACGGAGGTGCTCTTATTGTTAAAGCTGGTGAGTATCTCATTCAATTAGAATACCTTATTCACTCTTACATGAATAATGAAAAAAGAGTACAAATTATTCACTCTTTTTCAAGGTGTGTCAATGTATCTTCATGTAGAGATACTTTCCAATTGCAACCGAGAGAGAAAACAAATTTGATGCCCCCTCCATTCTATAAATGTTTTGTTGAACTGGATCTACTTGAAAGTGAACCAGATGACCTGGAGTCATTCTAATATGTAATATCGCGAGTACCTCGCAGTTATCTAACTTACTGTCGCTCTTTTGCGGGAGAGTCGAGAAAGCTCTACTTCTCCACATTATGAATAGATCAATCATAGGCATTTATGCCTGCTGTTCAATCCATTTCTTAATGAATAAAATATATTTTAAACTAAAGCTCTACATCTCTCAGGATTTCTGGGCACATGACATTGTTAACAGTAGTGACAATCGACTGATTTGAACAAGTTTATGCCAAAAGTACAATGTATTGCCAAAGGTTGAATTCCATATAGTAGATTGTCAAAAGGAAAGTTTAGAATATTTTATCAGCTTTAAAATGTGACAATTTTTAATGAAAATTTAATGAGAAGAGTCTGCTTAGTTAAAAATATCATAAAAAATGTAAGATTTTAGGATTAGCTCCTCTCAAAAAGTGATTAAGCTAGTTCAGCGATAGTTTAGCAAGGTATTCCACCAAGATTTTTTACTTATCTGTCCTTATAAATTCTTAGACAATGATCGATCTTGCATTGTATTCAATAGCACATTTACCCCATCCAACAGACGTTTCCTACTTCCAGTGCGGAAGAGTTCTGCAAAGTTAAGTAGTCGCAATATCAAGTATTTTAACACAAAATTAAAAGACCAAAATGAATTAAATTCCATTCATAGAATTACAAAAAGAAAAAAAAATCAGAAATAGCTACATTTTGAACAGAATAATGTCCTAGATAAAATAAAAGTTATCTGCATGACACCTGCTTCACAGATTAGCTTCAGGTCTGAAGCTCTACAGGAAATAGAGGCAGTCGTACCAGTGAGCTACAGTCCTGCAGATAGTCAAGATTTTGACATTCATATAAAGATACCTCACTGAGCATTGTGATTGGTTAAACATATTAATGAATATTAATGTGGTAATAGTGAGAGAAGTAACACTGATTCTGCAGTAGTATTCCTCAAAAATTGTGAAGGGGGGGGGGGGGAGGAGGAGGGTGACAATTAAAATCTGTAATATTTAAAAAAAAAAATGATGTTTAAACTACAAGAGAAACTTTTAAACTGTCCTGAGGATTATATCAGAATACATGTGTACCATTTATTTCCTGGATTTCTGGCAGCTGTGAAATGTAACAGCTCTTTAATGTTCACTGTTCAAGTCTGCCCTTTCTGTAATACCAAAGAATCGGAGATAATGAGAAAACATGTGTAAAGATGTATGATACCCTGTTAGGTTGTAACCTAGTAACATAAAAACATTAGATGTATTGCGCTGGTAAAACAAATATTCCCGACAGCAAGGGTGCTTGTGAATGGCATATCTCTTGTTTATTCTGTCAAGATAATAGTCAGGAGGAAAGAAAGATTCATTAGGGGAATATCTTTCTAGCTGAATATTATAATAAATGTTTAGGACATGAAAGTGTCTTAAATTTTGTTTAAGTATTTCTCAATATATGTGAGCTTTTATTTTATTTTAATGAATAGAATAGAAGTTAAGAAAAAAAATCTAAAATAAAGATTGAACAATGACTTTACAAAGTTAAATTTACTTTTATTTTCATGTACAACACATATTTCTGTCATCCTAACTTTTTTCCCTGGAAACTTTATCTTGGCTTTGACTTTTTCAAAGTAAGAAGAATGTAGTTTTGTACAGAAAATGAAACCTTGGAACCTAGCAAGTCTTATCAGAATGACATTTTGTTCCAGGTAAAAATAACTAAACAAATTGGCATGTGGATTACAGAAGAAATTTGCTGTATTGAGTTCATTCCCTCCTGCAACATTAATGAATTAAAAATTCAATATATTTGTGAATGTATATTGGTATTTACTTATTCACAAGATGAAAACATCCATGAACTACCAACTGGAATCTCTAATGCTTTTCCTAAAAATAACCCCCTATTAATGTAACTGATAATCCCCCCCCCCCCCCCCACAAAAGATGTAAAATAAAAACAAACCCAAAACAATGAAAATTGAAAACTGAAATCAAAGACAAGTGAATTTAGTATTTTGATAAATTTCAACAAGAAATATGACTGTATACATGTACAACATTGTACTTTACATGAATTTAGAGTGTATTTATTATGATTTTATCTCTAACAGGTGGCTCTGAGGTAATCTACAGTTATAAGCAGGAGGACCCCAGTGTATATGTCAATCCTAATGAAATCCTGAAGGCCCTGGGACTGGAGGAATTAAAAGAGGCACCCCAGGGGGAGGAGGCCTCAGGGGGAGGATGATCCTAGTGGGCGCTTGTGTCGAGTCCCTCTGGAAAATCCACGGGGATTCCATAAGCTCACATGAGAAGTATAGGAGTTTCTGAAGAGATACGGGATTTTGAAAGCATAGTTTTTCTTCTGGAAATCCCATATATTTCACATGCAGCAATTAGTTATAGAAAATCTGGGAGGCAATTGGAAAAACCAGAATAAATGAAGCTTTTTCACTTTCATTCTTCATGATGGTAAATGAGAAATCTTATAAGTTGAAATTCAACAAGTTTCATATGCATTGTGTATTGGTTTAAATAGATAGAAACTAAACCTAACCCAGTCATTCTGAAAAAAAAATAACTTTTCTAATGTATGCTGAATAGCAGAGGTAAATTTGAATTCTAAAAAAAAGAAGAAAATGAAATCTTACTTTTTACTATCTTTTCTAGAATTCTGTTTGAAATATGAACTTAATGTGTTCATGAGAGGTTTCAATTACAGTTTTTGTGAAAAAAGTAGAGGTTGTTATAATAGAGGGTTAATTGTAAAATGTTTGTGTGCTCCACGTGCCGAAATTAAGAATGCATTTTGATATTTATCTTTATCCAAATTAGGATAACAAAATGTGATATATTTAGAAGTTGGTCATTTGTTTTCAGATGTTATTTTGTTATGTTTGAGGTTAATAATTTTTTAACCTGTATTAATATATGCCATTGGGGCATTCACGTCATAACAGCGGTGTACTGATATGGAGATAAATCTCTTATGTGACAGACAAATGACATTACTAACCTATAATCCACAGTGTGGGAGGGTTTTAATTGAGGAATATCTGTCTAGGAGACATATCTCCATTATCAGTGCACAGACAGATAGTCCCATATTAAGTACATGTACATTAACAATCAACATTGATATAGAAGACCCGCCAAATATTTTTTGTTTACATTATATTTTTTAAATTTTATATATGTAAATCTTCATATATTTTACTTATATTTTATAGTGTTTCATCCTGTATCTTGTATAGTCTCCTTCAGTTTAATTCAGTCTTTGTCATATCAACGACATTTTGTCCGAATTCTGCATAATTTCCAATACATGTATAAAAACTTACATTTACGATGTCGTACCGAAATGTGATGTATCACTGGTCAGTGACATTCCTTTTGAAAACAGATAAATTTCATTGTTCTCATGCATTTGAATTTCATTTATATCTCAGGGGTTAAGGAAATATATATGTGTTCACCTTGATAGAAAAGTAGTTGATTGTATGATGTCATTTCCTCAAAATTTTTTTTTAAAAGTGGTTATGATGGAAGGAAATCATTTTACTTTTCTAACGAGATGAAGTTTGTTCCGAAAAATCTCATGATTAAAATCATTTCATCTATTGTGCAAATCTATCGTTTGAAAATATGTTTCAATTATCAAAAAGAGAAAAAAACTTTTTTCTCCATCTCTAAAGTGGTGAAAATGTACCCCCCCCCCCCCATATGTTGAAACACCCCAAATCCAACTGTAGATTGTTGATGAAAGTAAATACATAGATATGTACAATGTCATGTTAAAATAATAAAGGAAATCACCATGTTAAAGTTATTTTGTGTTGTTTATTCTCACAAAATCTTATTCAGTTATGTACACTGAAAATGTTAAGTGTCGAATAAAAGGCTTTGAAAAGCCTCACACATATTTACAACATTTTATAAACTACAGCTTAAAATTTGGCATATGAATAAAAATTAAATTCATAATATTAACAATAACATATAAATATAGTGTAATTAAAACAAACCAATTTGATGCCAGAATCTCTTATCACAAAATTGTAATTTACTATGTCAAGAAAGAGAAAACGAACATCTATAATCTGTTGCCATATTTGTAATGGAAGAACTTTTTATACATTGTAAGTTATGGTTGAAGCAGAATTACATTACTGTCATCCAGTACAATATTGATTTCTTAAAAAAATGCTCTTTATTTGATTGTATAGAAGTCTTTCTTCTGAAACAATTTAATACTTTATTTTAGTCTGAACATAAAATATTGAACTACATACAAATTTATCATAATAACGCGTTAATAAAAGACCATATTTTAGTTCATTGAGCAATTTGAGTGTTGTGGTCATTGTTATAAAGTAATAAAGATTTTTATGGTGTGCATTCTAATTGAATTGCTCATTATAGTGAAGTTGTGCTAGAAAACAAGTGATAGAGATCTATAGCCTGAGTATAGGAATTTGAGCAATTAATATTTTTAAGAAATTCAGGCACGTGGTATTTGAGGAAATGGGGACTTTCTCCCTATTATTTCAAGGTTAGTTTTGATTCTGTTTTCAATTGTATTTCATTTACATGTATTTTATGAATGAGTACCGGATACACCAAGTACTCGCCTATAAGTCAGTGTTTTGGGAGTTAAATTCTGGTCTTATACTCTCTGTCCGACTTATAGGCAAGTTATAAAAGAAATTCATATTTTTCTGGACGCTGAAATGTAGTATTTTACATGCATTTCTGTGGATTATCAAAGAAAATTCATGTATATACACGATGATTTATGTATTCTTAAATCAAACATAATGTACAAATATTTACAATATTTACATATTTTTGATATTTTTTGTATCTTGAGTACCGGGTAAGCATTACTTATTTGTTTAATGATTTAAGATTAAATAAAGATTCATTTTGAAAAATATTAATAGAAACCAGTTCAAACATCACTGGATTTACTTGAAATTGTCACCCAATTTTGGCAAAAAAATTGTACCAACTTATAAGAGGGTCAATGGCAAATCCCACCAAAATATGTGCCTAATAATACAAACGACTTAAAGGCGGACAAACTTTTAGGCAAGTACATGTATATCGATATGTCTTACAGTATACTTGTGTATGCCTTGTTCGTTTTTTATTATCTGATAAGTTGAATTCATTATACCATGTTTAATAAATTTCATCATGCACCCTTACTCTTCTGTCATGAAAACTGCAATATGTATGAATTGCATATGTATGTATGCATAATTACATTGATATAATAATTATATACATAATGTCTAAAATATTTACACTCTTTACATTTGAAATTTTCTGCCATTTCACAAACATAACTAGTACTTATAAGAACAATTAAGAACGGCACAAATATCACACACACATTTGTTGACAATTATTAATTGTCATGTCTGAGCGGAAAAATCCTCCTCCTTCAATGTTCACATCTCCTGGATAACACAAGTTTATCATAAGAGCTCCTCACCAGATCCGTAAGAGGTAACACTTAAGTCGCTGTGATGGACAAACATAACATCAATAGACATACAGTGGGGCAATCACAAAGAAATAAAGGGTTTATTTAATCACATTAAACTCCTACTTTTATATAAAGTAGGCCAGGTAATGCTTGTTATAACATTTCTACCACAAAACTTAAAATTAAACAATAATTAAAAATTGAACAGCTCACAACAATATTATCAATGAATAGAGCCTTTTTGAAATAATTTCAAATATATTTCAAAAATATTTTAATTTAATGATATAAAACAGAGTTGAGAAAAAAGTTTAATGACAAATAATGAATAGAGGAAAATGATAGGACGGTTAATGCCCCATTTGTAGTCACCCGTAAACTTTCATACGCGCATTAAAGTACAACCGATACATTCAAGGCGTCGATCAAACTTCATGTGCAATTCTACACCTGACACAGTCAGAAGTTACATCCACATTTTCTATTAAGGAGAATGTTGTCACTTAAATGCAACCATACAGTACAATTATATATAGTGCGCTTTAAGTTTTAGTACAGACACTTGTGGATGAATGCTTCAGGTAGAAGTCTTTATGCGATTCACTCATTTGTTCCACATTCATAACATTTGAAGTAGTGTGACAAAAACAAGGAATGTTGCAGCTAAAGGAGAAAAACAAGATGCATGACCAGGAATGGATGTAAATAATAAATATTAGTATTACATAGTTATAAACTTGCTTCAGATATCATATTCAATGTTTCAAAATAGAGAATTTTTATCTTAACATGTACATAGCATAACAAATTTAGTATTTATATGCTTTAGATCACTTTAAACTTTGACAAAATACAGTGTACATGTAAATTAATTTTTTGTAACAAGTGAAATGCGTACAGGTATCACATCAACTTAATATATATGCCCACCTTTCATACTAGTTGTTCCTGAGCTGCCGTGCATTTTTTCATTAGTTGCTTGGTGTCTCTGTACAGAACAGTCCTCCATATTATCTAAAAATATGCAATATAAATCAAAACAATGATCAGAATTTTGGTTTTAAAAGTAAAGCAAAAGGTGCCCTCCCCCTTTAGAATACATTACAAAAAATTGTCCTCTTATTATTACAAGAGAAAATCAATAGTATATAAATTTTCCTAATCCTAAGCTTATGATAGATATTTTTTTTGAAAAAGATCATTATAGTTCATCACCTGTAGAGGTGACTATAAACGGTTGAGGGGATGATAAAATATACAAATTAATTGGTTTAAGAATGTGTCTGGAATTAGGGGGTGAACAAAATAGTATATAATTTTCCTCATTCTAAGCTATCAGTAAAATTTAGAACAAGAGGCCCAGGGGCCACAGTGCTCACCTGAGCACATCGGCTAGGAAAAAGCACATATCAGATCAGAACTAAAAGTTTACTGAGGTTGGGGGAGGGGGGGAGCTTGAATTTTAACCCCCCCACCCCCAGGGGATCATGAGTTGAACGTGCTAGAATCTACACTGCCTGAGGATGATTCCATAATAAATATTACTAATCATGGCTTTGAAGTGCTTGAAAAAAAGATTTTAAAAGGTTTCCCTATATTTTCCTACGTAAAACTTTGATCAGCCATATTGGCCCCACCCTACCCCCAGGGGTCATGATTTGAACAAAATTGAATCTACACTACCTGAGGATAATTTCACATGAGTTTCATCTTTCCTGTCTCAATGCTTCTTGAGAAGAAGATTTTTAAAGATTTTTCCTATATATTCCTATGTAAAACTTTGATCGCCAATTTGGCCCCACCCTACTCGCAGGGGTCATGATTTGAACAAACTTGAATCTACATTACCTGAGGTAATGATTCCACCTAAGTTTCATCTTTGAGGATGATTCCACCTGAGTTTCATCTTTCCTGGCCCAGTGGTTCTTGAGAAGAAGATTTTTTAAAAATGCCATTAATTTTTCTCTCATTCATAATTATCTCCCCTTGGAAAAGGGCATGGCCCTTCAATTGAACAAACTTGAATCCCCTTTACTCAAGGATACTTTGTGGCAAGTTTGGTTGAAATTGGCCCAGTGATTTTTGAGGAGAAGATGAAAATGTGAAAAGTTTACGATGCCGACAACAACGACTACAACAACGACAGACAACGGACAAATTTTGATCAGAAAAGCTCACTTGAGCCTTTGGCTCAGGTGAGCTAAACAAGAGGCCCACGGGCCTTATAGGTCACCTGAGTATCATGTAACAACTTTCCAGCGATTGTATTTGGTTCGTGTTTTAATCCAAAAACCATGAAATTCACAAATTTTGAAAGAGGCACCATTGCTTATCAATGGGCAGATTTCAAAGCATTAATTTATTTTTAGTCAAAGTACCCCCCTGGTACCCCTGACCCAGCAGCCCTGAAATTATCTATTTTGAAAGAGGCCCCTTTCTTCATTATAAGGCCAGAATTTTTTTATGCTTAGGTTTAGTTATGAAGAAGGAAATAAAAAAATTTTTTGATAAATCAATTATTAACATTTGTACATTCTTTTTTTATGCTATCCTAACATAATGCTTTCAAATAGGAAAGTACAACATTTAATTGCTTATTTCATCATCTGCCATTTTGGGCCAGTTATATAAATTTTGTGATGTTGATCAAAATATATTTTAAAAAATCAATTCTTTAAAAGTCTTTCAATATGTCTTCATTTTTTTTAATATGTGTTAATATGTGTTAGGTGAATGTGTAGACACTATTCTAAAATTTACTTGATGCCTAAAATTATAATTCCTATCATAAAACAGACAGGGAGTATAGGGGAGTAGGGTGAACATTTTTTCAATTAAGTGTGAAATAATTTTTCTGGCTGATACAAATGATACTAAATGCCTGTATATATTTGTATATTCTTGCCTTTTAATCTGTTAAATTTTTTTTATTTCTTCAGGTTATTGTTTATTTCTTCCTCAAATGGACTTAACTTCTCCCATAGTTTTATTCATTACATCTGATGCATAAGCAACCCTTTTCTGAAGAATGATACTGTAAGCTACAACAAAGACCTAAACACTGTAGCTGGCAATATGCAATAGCTACCACGGGCAGTTTAAAACCCGGGGGAGGAAAATAATTTACAGACAGATACTTTTGAAACGAATACATAATTATCTCACCAGCATGTCATTGTGCAACAAAGTCGTCAGCATTTAATTTGTCCTTTGAACGGGTGAAACGTTTTGAATGGCACTCTTATCGATGAATTTTACACTAAACCAAGCTATCTTCTCAGACCTGTCACCTAGCTTTATTTACCCGCCGTTTCATCGTAAAAGCGGAAGTGCGAGTTCGTAAATTTGAAATCTCGATCCCGACTCAAATTGACCCTGACATGGGAAAAAAAAAATTGTTGTATTTTTTTCTGAAAATTCAAAACCTTGAGCGGAGGGTTTATAAAACTGAAAATAAAATAAATCCTGGCCTTAAATATGTAATTAGATCATTAGCATATTAACCAGGAGCAAAGGATAAGATGTTCAAAGAATTCATGCATTTCACTATATAATCATTAGAGCCCCACCCTAAAACAAGAACCCCTGACCCTGGGGCCATAAAATTCACAATTTTGGTAGAGGCACTCTTGCTCATCATAACTATGTACTTAGTTAGTTTATTTAATACCCAGGAGCAGAGAAGAAGATTTTCAAAGAATTCATGTATTTTCACTATATAATCAATAGAGTCCCGCTCTAACACCAGAACCCCTGACCCTGGGGCCATAAAATTCATAATTTTAGTAGAGGCACTCTTGCTCATCATAACTATGTACTTAGTTGGTTTATTTAATACCCAGGAGCAGAGAAGAAGATTTTCAAAGAATTCATGTATTTTCACTATATAATCAATAGAGCCCCGCCCTAACACCAGAACCCCTGACCCTGGGGCCATAAAATTCACAATTTTGGTAGAGGCACTCTTGCTCATCATAACTATGTACTTAGTTGGTTTATTTAATACCCAGGAGCAGAGAAGAAGATTTTCAAAGAAATAATGCATTTTCACTACCTACTTATTTAGCCCCACCCTAGCACTAGAACCCCTGACCCCAGGGCCATGAATTTCACAATTTTGGTAGAGGACTCAATGCTCATTACATTCATGCCAACAGTTTGCCTGCTTAATAGCCAGCAGCAAAGAAGAAGATTTTTGAAGATTGCATTAATCTCAGTGGTTTTGGTCCCACCCCTCAAGCCCCAGGGGGGCGGGGACTATAAAATTCACAATTTTTGTTCCCCTTCACCCACAGATGCTGTATACCTTGATTGAAATCGGTTGAGTGGTTGCAGAGAAGAAGCTGAAAATGTTCAAATGTTGACACACGACGGACGACGGACGCCGGACGCCGACGGACAAACACGGATGGCAATAGGTCACCTGAGTGACTCAGGTGACCTAAAAAGGATTGAATATAATTTTTAACATGTTTGCCAGCTGTTATATGCCCAAAGCCTAAAGTAAAAATTTGTTTGTTTGCAGTTGCCCACTGACTCACTGAAAATGCACCTGATTTAAACTTCTTTTCATCCAATTTGTATTTTTTTTTCGGGGGGGGGGGTTATGCTATCAGGATATTTAAACAGTTTCATTTTCTATTTTTGTTTATCAATAAGTGGCTTATAACAAGTGGATTTTTTAATGTTTAAAAAGCATATTTTTTAAAACAGAAATTTCGTGGTGGGAGGGGGGGTGTGTGTGTGTCAAGATGAGGGACTGTAAACCCCCCCCCCCCCCGGAATTTGCAGTTATTAAATTCATATACTTAACCAAGTAAAATGTGCCCTTCAATCCCTCTAGAAAACGCAGACACCCTCCACAATGCCGATCGGTGTTAAGTTGGTATAAACAGTCAGGTAAAGGTTAGAAGCATTAGAATTCAAAACTACTACCCCCCCCTCCCCCTCCCCCCCCACATACACACCCTCACCCTCACACACACACACGAAATAAGTTTTTCACGTTTGGGCGAGTTGTGTTTTTTTGGCTTGTCTGGAAATATTTTTTTATGGGGATGGACAACCTCCCCACCGGAAAAAATTCCTGGATCCACGACTGATTATACTAAGGAAAATGTATTTACAAACTGGATACCCACTGGTGACCTTGTATTTTACTTACATGTATGATTGTTTAGTAAAAGCTTCGATTTTCCATGGGTATTGGACAATGTATGAATGAATACTTTCTACAAAAAAGATCGTTTCGAACCTTTACCTGAAACAGGGGACTCCGAATCACACCAAAAGCTGACTCCCTGAATTTTAAGGACACAATATCGGCCATTGAATCCCTTTTCATCACAGCCTGGGGGCGACTTCACGCCGGGGTTGGTATCTCGACACTTAATTTTCTAAATTAAAATTAGTATTATGGATTATTTACAATTGTATGTTAATTGCTTTAATATTTTACTTATTTTTTTTTAATTTCATTTTATGATTAAGCAGGAATTGCAATAAAAAAACGTACCCCGTAATACTCGTCGCAAAATTCTCCTTTATAGTTTTCCTTACATTCACATTTTGCATCCAAGGAGGCCAAATCTGAGGAGGGAATTAATGTGCCATTGTTCTGACATGGTCCGTTCTTTGTGAAGCTATATTCTCTACAGAAATCCACTGGAAAGAAAAGATTAGAGTACTTGCACTAACTCCTTTTAGAGTAAGAAATATTAAAAAAAAAACATAAAAATAATAGAAAAAAATAAAATAATTAAATAAATAAATAAAATAAAAAAAAAAACGTTTTTTCTTCCTAGTGGTATATAAAACCTACCTGTCACATGGTCCAAGCTACCATTCTTCTTGGGATCGGAAAGATCACACACATCCTTTATTCCTAATTCGTACATGTAAAAAGAACATATACATTTTGGGTGAAGAAAGTAGCCGTTACACTGTGCTCTTTTCTCTGTGAAACCTACAAAGCAGACGTGTCAGATGAAATTCTAACACTACTTTTACTTGCATAAGAGAAATGTAGATTATTAATATTACATTAACATTTAAAGAATTATATATAGAACCTAAATTTGTAGCAAGTTTTGTTGAAGTCAAATATAAACTAAAAAAGTACAGGTTGTGGCATTTAAATAGACTCGCATATGTTAAAAGTACTTTTGCTACACAGCTAAACGGAAATAAGTGTCTTAATTAAGTCTATTTCATAGTACATTGATATATATGTAAACTGTAGAAGCACAGTTTTATAGTAATTGGAGACCTTCTAATGCAACACTGCTCATCGAGATTGAAAAAAGAAAGGCCACTTGAACTGTATATCTTTGTGTAGTACTATATGCAATCCTGAGCAAGGGCAGGGAATTGAATATTTATTACACAACCTACAGAACAATTCCAATCACAAGCACCTGACGAATGGATCGTGTAATCCCCCACCCCCTTCAGCTTCTGAGAATTTTATTAGGCACAAAAAATTATCAAAAATGCATGATTTCCTAGTCTATCATTGCATGTATCTTTTATTTCGATATCTGATATCATTTTCCACTTTCATTAAGATGAAGAGATTTGCCTCATAAGTTGTGTAAAAATACTTTTTAGACTAGTATTTTATATACATATAAGGCCAATCTATAATCAAAATCTTAACTGGAGGGGGGAGGGAGGGGGGCATCCATTTGTCAGGTGCCTGTGAATCCTATAAGATACATGTATTATGAGATGTTAGGACTAAAATTTTGTAATATATTTGACTTGATGAAAATAGCTTTATCATATTATTATTAACAAAGATATCAATTTTTTAAATGAACTCTCACCATCAATTGGAAGTTTACATCTTTCACGATAGTTTGTTCTATTGAAAAATGCTGCAATAGGGAAAAACATAATTAATACAAAGACAATAATTAATCTCTTTTATTTTTTTTTAAATATACCCGTATGTCTATATATTATCATCCCTAAGAAAATTTTACCTACATTGCATACAAAATCCGTCCTGTGTACAAGATTCAAGAAAAGAATATACATGTAAATAGAAAATATTGAAATATTGACTTACGCTCTTCCCTTCTGACAATCTGCTCTACTTTTACTGCACATTCTGAAATATAAATTCTCTAGTTGCACATTTCCTCCAAATTTTCATTATCCCATATATATTTAAGCTTGAACTACGAATTTGAGATACGAACTAAAATGTTTAACAGTCATCATGTAAGTACGATATCATAAGGGAGAGTAACTTTCAATTCTTTAACAAAGGCACTGGCATATTAAGATGGGGGCACCTTCCCCCTTTTTCGTCTTAAATATACTTATGATTTAATATATCAATTTTTCTGGTGTTGTTGTGGGCCCCTACCCTGACCCCTAACTGGTCACCCCCTCCCCTGATTTCAAGATTCATGGATCCGCCACTAATAGCACTTTTTAAAAGTACAATTTCACCCCAGCTGACTTTACAGTACGACAGACAGCGAACATTCTTTTAAACTTGGGCTATCTGAAATGTATTGTCGCAAACCACGGCCATTATGTTCGATCCTCTCCCGAACCCTGGAGAGAGCTATATGCGGACTCCGAACCATGGCTTGAAACGGTTTCTGTAAATGATTCATTTCCGTATGCCAAAGATCAGTTTAACTTTCTTCAAACCTTGTGTTGGCATTGACAAAAAAGTTATATCCGTTTACTAAGATCTAATAAATATATTAAATATATGGTTTGGAAAGAAAACTAAGTACCTAATGTATACGGTATTCCTACTAAATGTATAATATCATATAAACAAGGTCATATTTGTATTGAAAACCATTTTGAAATTATTACACAATTCAGTTTATGTTTGATTATTTTGTGCACTTCAGTAATCGTTCTTTGGCGCCGAACTTTTAGTGGTTGCTAAGATCGTAAACATATTGACTTCTGGGACTTTGGGGAAGCTTCTTTACACCAAGTAAAAGCTCTTTTAAATGGTAATATTAATACAATTCCACCTCTCTGGCGATATTCCGTAATTCGGAACGAATAAATGGTTCACAACTACACACATTTGCTTATACAGTGTATTTGTGTCCATTTTTAAAGGAAACTTAAAAAGTTTACATAGATATTATATATGTTAAGGTTCAAATAGTTGAACGGGCTTTGCCATACATTGTCACTAGGGAGATTGCATTTGAATCCAATATACCCCCCCCCCCTCTTCAAAAAATTTCAATAAGATAACATAAAAATTGAGTACTGAGTATATTTCATAACAAATGAGCAATCATTATTCTATGCCATACTATAATACCTTAAAAAATATATACATGCACTCAAGCATATTATGTTAATTTTCAGCATACATACACGTAGGGTATACCGGTTTTATATATAATCATAGAAAAATCCCTCTGACCTTCGGCTTTGACTGACGAAATCAATGCAACTAAAATCGTACACTTGATGCAAGTCCAACCAGCCATCAATGATTCATATCTATAAAAAAAATAATAATTGTTTTAGCACTACCGGGTATTATTTTACTTTAAATTAAGAGGTAAAGTTTTTAGGGTATATTTAAAAATTAAAAAAAAATCCAAACCATCAAACATTTTTCTAACAAACCAGGCAAATCATGTTATAATCATTTTATTATGCATATTTATGGATCAGCTTTTTTTTTTTTTTTTTCCAAACGTATATATTTTGCGTTATTCTAAAAAGGGAAATCATTAATTTTTATTTGTACTAAATATATGTTATTTAGACTTTTGCTACAATTTTTATTAACCATCGGGCTTAATATAGTTGTTTCGATTTGTAAGAGTTTATGCAATGTCCAATATTTAAAACAAAACAGAACATTTCTTTATCAAATGAAACTCCTACTCTTTACCTGTGATAAAAATAGATTTTTTTTTTTTTTTACTATATACGTCTAAAAGGAGAATATCAATTTTTTAAATATACAAAATTATTGATAAATTATAAGCTAAAAAAAACTTGCATCTAGAAGCATCCATAAAACAGTATGTTCTATACAAAAAAACTTTCTATTTCCTTTCTCCTCTTGAACAGATCGAGAGTGTATATTTAGAGGGAAAAAAATCGTACATGCATATTGATAACTCCAAAATAAAATACAGTATTTCAAACACATTAGGTCAAATTAATATTTCACACATTTTATGAATATTTAATAAGTTACTTTCATTTTAACAATATACAGAAGCATTGCGTTTATAGGGTGGAAAACGACCCCTCTAACTTTTAAAGATAATTTTCCACAGACATGCACTGTATACTTACATGGTAATGTTTCCATTACATTGTCCTAGTCGGAGATAAGTATTAATAAACAGCCACCGAAATTAACACAGATCATTACACTCGGCGTCGCCTTTGGATCTCGTCATCTGTAGAGGAAATGATATATATACAGTAATCAGTTTACGCAATCAGCTGTGAGAGTTATTTATTTAACATATTTCAATCATTGTATTGTGTATTTTAATGTAAAAACGGTACATATATACGTAAACATTGTGTCCCTAGAATGGAAAATGTACTGGTAAAAAAAAATTGCCAGTCATGTACATGTATATACATACTTTTTTAAATTCACAAGGAAAAATGGCGGGGTACCTCGGTCACGTTTTTTGCTAAATTCTATATTTAATCTTTATTTAGACATTTTTATCCTAAAATCTACAGATAATTATTATTTTGATTTGAATTGCTATGAACTCTACAGTTACTCGTAACAGGATCACGACCATTACCCTTAAAGCATTCATACACACATGTATTTTAATTTGTACCTAATTAGACAGATCTCTTAAAGTCCCATCCACCCGTGAACTTCTCCAATTAAAAAAAAACTATTAAAGTAAAAGACCTTTTTTTTTACAAAAGTAAATCAGGTCCAGGACCATATGTAAAATACATCAGAACAAACGAGCTAAAAAATTAATATTAATGACGTTATAATGCATATTGCTTTTGTTACAAAGAAAGTGCAAGAAAATGGAAGAATCTTCATACATTTCTTTTAGCCCTACAGTAGCCTAACATTTCATTGTATTAGAAACTTTATTTCCATCAACAACATTTTCAAACCACTTATATTTCAAAAAGCCATTATGTAAACATAAATACAGAGAATTAAACCATGCAGCAGAGGTAATGTCAATTGCGGTTTAGATTTAAATACATATACCAGATAGCTATACTGACATGCACTTCTTGTACCTTTACTAAAAAATATAACCTCCTTTTATGAATCGCCAAGTCAAAATGTAAAAATATGCAACTGCACTTCACGCACCACTTAACAAACATTGCAATCATGGAAACATAATTAACAAACATATGCACATGCATGGCACTACAGTGTACTATCAGAAATTCTATATATGTAAAAGATCCGCGTAAATAATTACATGTTACTAGATTGGTTGGTATGTTGTCAAAATGCAACAAAGACAATGGTTAGAATCACAGGCACAAAGAGTAGAACAGAACAATGATATGGCCCATGTCAGAATTTGTTGGTAAAATTATACTTTGTGATTTCAAAAGTTTTGGATTGTAGATTTAACCTATGATCCAAAATTCCTTATTGATTACATACACGTGTTGTTTGATCGAATATGTTTTTCAAAGTGGGGGGGGGGGGCCAGACACAAAAATAATTGACAAGCACCTAAGGCTGAAAAATCTTAACAAACGAACAAGCAAACAAACACACACATATAAAAGAGCCTTAACTCTGAAATCTTATTTTCATACCGCAAAAAATTTTAAAAGGAGGTAATTGGTCTTTAATAACAAGTTCAACTAGTGCTAATTGTAACGGGGACCGTTACAGATGTTCCCCAAACGCTCCCCAACTCACTTTTGGTGCCATATTCCCTGTAATCTTCATTAAATAAGACAAACTCTATGCACCTGAGATTTTAACAACATTTACAAAGAAGTGTACAAAAATCATTTAAACTTTAGCATTGCACCCGTGCACATGTGAATGCATTTGCGTCATGACCATATCATCTTGTCTACACAATCTATATTTTAAATACACTGAATATTAAAGTATTTAATCCAAAATTATTTAAAAAATACGCTCATTCAAGTGTATGTTTGATTTTACTCATTTCACGTGCACGCACGTGCATACATGAGCATGGTGACCATACCTTCTTGTAGAAGTCCATTACATCTATCTATGTTCTAAATTCCACCCCGTTTGGGTGAAAACTAAGGGAGTTATAGCTGTTTAAAGTTTCAGCCAATCAGATTGCAGCACATGTACACGCACGTGTATGCATGTGCATGGTGACCATACCTACTTGTAGAAGTCCATTATATCTATCTGTGTTCCAAATCCCATCCTGTTTGGTTGAAAACCAAGGGAGTTATAGCTGTTTAAAGTTTCAGCCAATCAGATTGCAGTGCACGTGCATGCACGTGTTTTCATGATAATTGCTTTATTTCATGTTGTAGGATATCCTAATGCATGGCTATGTTCAAAATTTCAAAGGATTTCGTCAAAAACAAGAAAGATATCGAGACTTTAGTTGCAGCCAATCAGAGCGAAGTGCACGTGCATGCGCGTGAGATCTTGCTATTTTTACCATGTCGTCATGTCTATACTACTAATATATCCTCACATTATGAGTTTCAAAGCATTTCATCTAAAAATAGAACAGTTGTGGCTATATCTATTATATTGGTCATTTCACGTGTTGCACGTGCACGCTCTTGCAAGCACGTGCGCGCAAAATGACCTTGATTCCGCAAATCTACATAACATGTCTACTAACCCTAAAAAGGTTTTACTTACATTGGACGAACAGTTTACAAGATCATTCCCGGACAAAAAAGTTCCAGGAAGAAGAAGAAGAAAAATAATAATAATAATAATAAGAAACAGAGTAAAAACAATATGTTCCCCAACTTCGTTTGGGGAACATAACAAGATGTGTTTGTGAAACACTGATGCCCCCGTATGGCAACATAGCAAAGATTAAACTTTTCTTATACGCAAACTTTAATATATTGGTATCCAAAGTAGGGTATTCTCACTGGAAATACAATTGTGAAATATAAAAGTAGGCCAAGGTTAAAGTTTTTTCATAAGTGCGGAAATCTCCAAGGTCAAAGCAATTAGTATCAAAAGAAAGGTCCTGCCACAAAGAATACATGTGTGAAGTATGGAAGCCCTGGCCCTAATCCTTCTAAAGTTATGGTCAAGGTTACCGATTTTAAAAAGGAGGTCTAACTCAAAGGTCAAGGTCAAAAGGTCATAATTCTTGATATCAAATGAAAGGTCTTGTCACAAGGATTACATATGTGAAGTATGATAGTCCTAGCCCTTACCGTTCGAAAGTTATGGCCAAGGTTAAAGTTTTTTTATAAGTGCGAAATCTCCAAGGTCAAAAGGTCAAGGTTATTGGTATCCAATGAAAGGTCTTGCCACAAAGAATATATATGTGAAGTATGGAAGCCCTAGCCCTAATCCTTCAAAAGGTATGGTCAAGGTTACCAATTTTGAAAAGTAGGTTAGACTTTAAGGTCAAGGTCAAAGGGTCAAATTTGGTGGTACCCAAAGAAAGGTCTTGTCACAAAGATGAAATATGTAAAGTATGAAAGCACTGGCCATAACACTTTTAAATTTATGGTCAATGTTTGCTTTTTAAAAGTAAGTCAAATTCCAAGGTCAAGGTCAAAGGGTCATAGTTCTTAATATCCAATGAAGGGTCTTTTTACAAAGATTAGATATGTGAAGTATGAAAGCCCTATCCCTTACCGTTCAAAAGTTATAGGCAAGGTTAAAGTTTTTTTCACAAGGACAAAAATCTCCAAGGTCAAGGCAAAAGGTCATGATTGTTGGTATCCAATGAAAGGTCTTTCCACGAAGAATAAATATGTGAAGTATTGATATCCTGGTATCTACTGTTCAAAAGATATGGCCAAAGTAAAAGTTTAGAATTTTTGTGTAAAAGTGGGTCAAACTTCAAGGTCAAGGTCAAAAGGTCAAATTTGTTGGTACCCAAAGAAAGGTCTTGTCACAAGGAATACACATGTGAAATATAAAAGTCATAGCTCCACTAAATCAAAAGTTATTGGCAAGGTTAAAGCTTTTGCGGGCAAAGACAGACAAACAGCATGTAGCTCTATTGTAGCGTCGGATCTAAAAGAGGAAGTGATCGACCTCATGGATATGAAAGATTTGACCTTCAGCCATCTGCCCATCATAACAACGTGGGTTACTTTTCTTGCTAGCAGCGATAGACAAAACTTGAAAATTTAATTTTAAAATATTTGCAACATATATATACGAGGGTTGTTCGAAAAGTTCGTGGAGAATTTTTTTTAATTGTCATATCTTTTTATTTGATGTCATATGTTATCCAAATTT